TTGTTAGTGAGCCTGGTTAGTTAATGTGCTCGTATTATCTAAATGATAATAATTTTGTCTCTTACTTTCCATTATCTACATGACTGATATTCTTTTCTTATTGCATGGCTGGAATTCTCAAAACAAGTAGTGGTGGTAGGGATGAACATCGCTCTCATATTTTTGTTTCTTTGTTTACTATTATATTTGCTGTAGTTTTATAATGAATATTCTTTGCTGTATTTAGGAGTTTATTGATTCATTCTAATTTAATTTTTGTTCAGCTGAACGCGTTCAATTAATTTCCTCAGAAGGTTCATGTGTAGTGTAAGATCTGAGTCTGTGCTTGTCCTCCTGTCCCCCCACCCATCCCCTCAAAACAAATTCCCCTGCCTTCATTGATGACAATATGAGAGGCTTAGATGAAGATCTAAAAAAACTCTGTATACACTTCATTCTTCCCATTTTCAGAATGACAAAGGAGAAATATGATAGTTTGATTGTTTCTTTTCCTAGAGTTTCTATCTCCCTCCCTCCCCCACTTTCTTCCTCTCTCGTTCACTCTCTGCATCTCTTTCCTTCTCTCTCTCTTTCGCTCATGTTCTCCTGCCTCTTAGACATTTTAAATTTTAATCAGTATACACCTAGATGTATCTTTTTCCTTTTTTTTTTTCCACCTAAGACTTGTCATTGAGAAAAATGATGAGACGAGTCTCAATCATTTTAGGAGACTTATTTGCGAAAGTTAAGGATGTATGCCTGGGAGACAGCTCTATGTCTTTCTCTGAAGATGATTTTGAGGGCTCCAAATTTAAAGGGGAAAGGGCGGGATAGTGAGAAGTACACAATTTTCATGTAAGAGCAGGGCAGGGAAAAATAGTCATTCATGCCTTTGTCTGGCTCAGTGAATCTGCATTTTTTAACATAAGATGATATAAACAAATGGGGCAGAGGAAAATGCAGGGAATCTGCATTTTACATAAGAGAAAATAGACAAAATAGGGCAGGGGAACAATCAGATATGCATTTGTATCTGGTGGGTGACTGCGCTTGTAAAGATAAGCGATCAATTTGCATTGCCATGGTGAAATTTTAACAGTTCACTAGGAATTTCCTTGTGAGCAAAATACGGTGGAGACATGTAGCTTTTCATCATAGGATGAAAAGCTTATTTAGGAACCAAAAGGGGGAGGCAGGTTTGTATGACACAGTTCCCAGCTCGACATTTCCCTTTGGCTAAATGAGTCTGGGGTCCTAAAATTTAATTTCCTTTCACAGACTTAAGATATTGAAGTATTTTTCAACTTAAGGAAGTTCTTTTATTTATTTGATTTTTTTTCACTTCTCCATATATTACTCTCTCTCCTTTTAGAGCTCTTCCTCCTTGCTTATTACATCTGCATCTGGCTTTCATGTCTGTTAATGAAAAGAGTCACACTCTGTGAAGTATTTGAAAAGATTTATTCTGAGCCAAATATGACTGACCAACGGCCCATGATGCAGCCCCAGCAGATCCTGAGAACATGCACCTAAGGTGGTTGGGGTACAGCTTGGTTTTATACATTTTAGACAGACATAAGACATCAGTCTCATGTAAGATGGACAGTGGTTCAATTTGGAAAGGTGAGACAACATGGGGGAGGGGAGCTTCCAGGTCAGAGGCAGATTCAAAGATTTTCGGATTGGCAACTGTTTAAAAGAATTATTATCTAAAAATTTGGAATGTCTAGGTTAAGATAAGGAGTTGTGGAAACAAAGTTTTTATCATGCAGATGAAGCCTCCAGATAGCAGGCTTCAGGTAGAATCAATTGTAAATGTTTCTTATCAATCTTAAAGAGTCTGTTCTATCAGACTTAACATCTCTGTGTTGATGTGAATGCTGATCAGCTGTGCCTGAATTCCAGGAAGGAAGAGAGTACAATGAGGCATGTTTAGCCACCCATCCCTATTATGGCCTGAACTAATTTTTCAGGTTAACTTTGAAATGCCCTTGGCCAAGGGAAGGGTCCATCAGTCAGTTTCAGGGCTTAGAATTTTATTTTTGGTTTATATGTTTCTCATAGTTTCATTTATGGCTTCCATTTCTTTGTAGTTTTGCCCTGTATTGGGGTTACATGTTCTTCTATTTTGCACAAAGCACTTCCTGGCACGTAGTAGGTGCTCCATAATTAGTTATTGAATGAACACCTTCTCTCTTCTAGGTGTTAATGAGTTTAGCTTAAACCTTTCTCCTTACATATTTTAAATTCAGCCTAAAAGTTTCTCTGTACATAGTGAACTGTAACCTAACTGGACATGTAAACAGACTGTCACCTACTCTCATAGCAAGTAACCAAGTCTCAGCCAATCACAGCAGCCAGACTTCAGCCACTCACAGTGGCCAGCTGTTCAAACTGGGCTCAAGTAAGGCAAATGCTGAGCCATCACCAATCTGGCTCTTTCTGTACCTCATTTCCATTTTCTGTACATCACGTTCCTTTTTCTGCCCATAAATCCTGTCCAACTACAAGGCAGCATCAAAGTCACTCTGAGCTGAATAAAATACCTAGGAATCCAACTTACAAGGTATGTGAAGGACCTCTTCAAGGAGAACTACCAACCACTGCTCAGTGAAATAAAAGAGGACAAAAACAAATGGAAGAACATTCAATGCTCATGGATAGGAAGAATCAATATCATGAAAATGGCCATACTGCTCAAGGTAATTTATAGATTCAATGCCTTCCCCAAGGTAATTTATAGATTCAATGACTTTCTTCACAGAACTGGAAAAAACTACTTTAAAGTTCATATGGAACCAAAAAAGAGCCCACATTGCCAAGTCAATCCTAAGCCAAAAGAACAAAGCTGGAGGCATCACGCTACCTGACTTCAAACTATACTACAAGGCTACAGTAACCAAAACAGCATGGTACTGGTACCAAAACAGAGATATAGACCAATGGAACAGAACAGAGTCCTCAGAAATAATACCACACATCTACAGCCATCTGATCTTTGACAAACTTGACAAAAACAAGAAATGGGGAAAGGATTCCCTATTTAATAAATGGTCCTGGGAAAACTGGCTAGCCATATGTAGAATGCTAAAAATGGATCCCTTCCTTACACCTTATACAAAAATTAATTCAAGATGGATCAAAGACTTAAATATTAGACGTAAAACCATAGAAATCCTAGAAGAAAACCTAGGTAATACCATTCAGGACATAGGCATGGGCAAAGACTTCATGTCTAAAACACCAAAAGCAATGGCAACAAAAGCCAAAATTGACAAATGGGATCTAATTAAACTAAAGAGATTCTGCACAGCAAAAGAAACTACCATCAGAGTGAACAGGCAACCTACAGAATGGGAGAAAATTTTTGCAATCTACTCATCTGACAAAGGGCTAATATCCAGAATCTACAAAGAACTCAAACAAATTTACAAGAAAAAAACAAGCAACCCCATCAAAAAGTGGGCAAATGATATGAACAGACACTTCTCAAAAGAAGACACTTATGCAGCCAACAGATACATGAAAAAATGCTCATCATCACTGGCCATCAGAGAAATGCAAATCAAAACCACAATGAGATACCATGTCACACCAGTCAGAATGGCGATCATTAAAAAGTCAGGAAACAACAGGTGCTGGAGAGGATGTGGAGAAACAGGAACACTTTTACACTGTTGGTGGGACTGTAAACTAGTTCAACCATTGTGGAAGACGGCAAGTTTATTAAGAGTGTAAAGCAATAAAGAATGGCTACTCCACAGGCAGAGCAGTAGCGTGGGCTGCTTGACTGAGCATACTTATAGTTACTTCTTGATCATGTGCTAAACAATGGGTGGATTATTCATGAGTTTTCCAGGAAAGGGGTGGGCAATTCCAGGAACTGAGGGTTCCTCCCTTTTTTAGACCATATAGGGTAACTTCCTGACATTGCCATGGCATTTGTAAACTGTCATGGCACTGGTGGGAGTGTCTTTTAGCATGCTAATGCATTATAATTAGCATATAATGAGTAGTGAGGATGACCATAGGTCACTTTCATCACCATCTTAGTTTCATTGGGTTTTGGCCAGCTTCTTTATCACAACCCGTTTTATCAGCGAGGTCTTTGTGCCCTATATCTTGCATCAACGTCCTATCTCATCCTGTGACTTAGAATGCCTAACCTCCTGAGAATGTTGCCCAGTAGGTCTCAGCCTTATTTTACCCAGCCCCTACTCAAGATGGAGTTGCTGTGGTTCAAACACCTCTGACATTTTCACAGCTTAAGTTTAGTCAATAAGTAAACAAAAAGAAAAGCAAAATAAACATTTTTGAAAACGCAAATGCCCAATGCCACAGGATAAGTTTCAAGGATGCCAGGATCTGAGCATGTTTATTGGATGCAGTGCATGGCTTGTCTTTGGGGAAGCTGTTTTGATTGTAATAATCTCTAAACCTGCTATTAGCCAGCAGGTGAGAGAGGGAAGCCTTTTAGCTGTCTGTGTCTGGGTTCCTCTCCCAGGCCACCTGCTGCCTTGTCGTCCTATTGTGAAGGCATAAGAACTGTCCCATTTCCCCAAATGCCACATGCAGGACATGCACGCAGTCCAGGGCACACACTGACCAAGCTGGCAGAATGGTGGATGTCCAGGTTGGGCGTGGCTGGGCAGCCTTAACACCTTCTACCTCCAGTGACTGGCAAGGCAGGCTTCTGCTGTTCAATGTCACCTCTAGTAAGTGAGGTCTCCCTAGACTACCTTCAGAACTTTTTATGCAGTGGTGTGCACCTGTACCACTGTAAGCTCAGTCTCAGGGTTCCCACTCTGATGCTCAGGGCACAGCCAAATTGGTGCCACTGGACTTTGGAAGCGGTCCCAGAAGCTTACTGGACACAGGGTCAGCCTGTGATGTGTTGACTTTAATTGTGGGTACATCAATCTCCCTGTGTAACACCGTCTGACAGTGTGGGCAGCCCTCAGCTGAAGGGGCAGACCAAAGGCCGGCATTTAACCCAATTTCTTCTCCTTTCTCATGCTCAGATGGATGGAGTGGAGCCCTGGCTTTCCCTTGAGCATCGATGCCAAATGCCACAAGGATTTACCCCGTGATATCCAGTTTGATAGTGAAAAAGGAGTGGACTTTGTTCTGAATTACTCCAAAGCGTAAGTTTACGAGAACTGAGGGACTCTGGGCAGCCCCTCCAGTGGCTGGTGCTGGGGGTGGGACCCTCACTCCTTTCCTGATGGGGCCCTTGGGTTGGGGGAACAGCCTAGCTGAGCCAAATGCTTTGATGATATGTTGGCCATAGAGTGGATTCTCAATGCACAATTGCAGGACAACCAGTATCTAAAAAAGTCACAACCTAGAGGACTCCAGACACCAGACATACATGTGTTTTTGGCCCAAAGCCGGGGTCTTTAGTTGGAATGCCTCTTCCCCGTCCACATCTCATCCCCTCTATGGCCACTTCAAAGATGTGAAGGCTTTGTGTCCAGGCTGTCACCAAGATGGCAGGTGCTATGGTGAGAATGGCCAAAATGCCAGTGCTGATCCCATGACATATGTCCCCTGTTCCACCATCACAGCCCCACGAGGGAGTCACAGTCATTGTCTCCATTTTACAGTTGAGGAACTGAGGAATACGGAGGTCGAGTACCTTCCTTGCCCAAGGCCCCCAGCTAATAAGTGGCAGAAATATGGGTTCTGTGCACCTTTGTTTCATCTGAATGGCTGCAGGGCTTTTTAAAGCTTGCCCAGGCTATCAGGAGACTCCAGGCTGCTTATTAAACATATGGATCCCCTGACCCTACCCCAGGGGTAGTGGAGGGGGTCTTTAAATCTGCACATTGACCCTGTAGGGAATTGTAAAAATCATGTCAGTTTGGCAAACCCTAAATCCATGGTTCTGAAACTGGACTAACCCTTATGTAATCCAAAAAGTATGTGAGACAGGTTTCAATCAATTTAGAGGTTTATTTTGCTAAGGTTAAAGACATACATGGAAAAAAGGAACACAAATCCACAGGAACAATTGGTGGTCTGTGCCTTTTTCCAAAGATGCCTTTAAGGGCATCAATATTTAAAGGAGAAAAGCAGGCTGGAGGGAAGAAAGGGAGGGCATAGTCACATTACTGAATCCACATGTTGCAAAGGAAAAGGAGCAGGTAGGGGAATAGTGAGTTATGTATTCCTCTTGCACTCAGTACATCAGCACTTGATAAGGTGGACACTGAGAGCTACCTGTGGGGGTTTTTACCTTTTATCTGTAGCTATCTTAGTTCCTTGCATGACTCAGCTTTCAGCTTAATTTTTCCCTTTTGGCAGAGTGAATTGGGGTCCAAAGATGTTCATTTCCTCTTATACCTAGAATCCTCTGAGGAGCATTAGCACCTCCCAGTGCCAGGCCAACCCCACACCTACAGATGACAGTCTACGAGGGTGGGACCCTGGCCTTGGGTCTGCACACCCAGCAGGTAGACGGGGCTGAGAACTCAGCCAGTCTTCAAAGCTTAAAATAATATTATTTATTCTAAACACTTTGTAGGTGTTTTGGGGAGTACAGTCATCTATTTTAAGCTTCATGGCCATCCTGGGAGGTAAATAATATTATTGACCATTTCTAGGTGAGGAAACTGAGTCTTCAAGGGTCAAGGTCAAGGAGTTTGCCTAAAGTCATTTAGGCAGAAATTGGCAAAACCAGGATTTGAATCTAGGTCTGTTTGTGTCCAAAGCTGGAGCATTTTTCTCCTACCTTAATCAGGGTCTCCTAGAGAGAAAAAGTAAAACCAAGCATCTGGATTGGTAATGCAGCAGTACCCAACATCTCCCTGGAAACATCATGGAAGTTAAGGGCTCACTTCCCTTCCCCTACTCTGGGATTGGGATTGCTGATCAAAGCCATGTAGCTTTAGTGGGGTAGGTCCCAGACCAGGATGGGACAAGCAGGACAGAAGGCCCCTATGAAAGAGACAGTTTGGAGAGGATGATAAGGATGGTGAGGTAGTAAGGTGGAGAGTAGTGCCACCTGGGCTTAGTAATGGTGGAGGAGGGAATGGAAGAATACAGGATGGATGGACAATCAAACAGATGGACAAGCAGATGGATGGATTGAGAGATGGATGATGAATGGATGGATGAAGGTAAGGAGGAAGGAGGGAAGAAGAGGTAGATGGTGGATGGATGGAGGGATAGATGAGAAATTGATATATGGATGGATGGATTCATGGATGGTGGGTGGATGGATGGATGGATGGATGGATACTGAGATGAATGGATGGACAGATGGGTGGATGGATGGATTGATGGATTGATGGCGAATGGATGGTGGGTGGATGGAAGTGTAGACAGAGAGATGGATGGATGGATGGATGGATGGATGGATGGATGGATGGATGGATGAATGGTGGAGTGAAAGTGAAGGCCAGACTGCCTTTCTTATGTCTGCTCAGTGTTTCTGAAGGTCATTGTCATCTCTGTGTCTCAGGAGCCTCTGTATCTTAGCAGCTGTCACAGAATAGGTGCTCATTAAATCCTATTAAAATGAAAGTGTGACCCAGCTGGCCCCTGAGTGCCAACTGGGTCACGCTCCATTTTAACAGCATTTAATGAGTGCCTATCCTATGGTATAGAAGGTATCCGTGCACCTCCTTTTCATGTATCCCCATCACGGCTAACAACAGCCTAGATATATGGTTCTCAATCCTGTGTGTTTAGTGTTACAGACTCCATACTGCCCACTCTGCACAAACCATGGAAGGAGGGGCAGTCCAGCACAGTTATATTTTAGGGCTACTGGGGGATTCCAGTATATAGCCAGGATTAAGACCACTGGCCTGTATGCCTCCCTGGGCCTCCCCATCCCCCACATAAGGTTGCATCTATTTGCTGAGTCAAGTCCATCTGCTGGGTCCCAGGGAGTGCTTCCTCCTCTCCCAGCTCCACCATCTCTCCTGAGTGAGGGCAGGAACATCTTTCCAGCTGCCTCCCTGGACTCCATCTCTCAAGACACGGGGAGGGCTCATTCTCAAGTGCATGTATAATTTGTTGGAGGCTCGCTCTAAAAAGTAAATATAATTTCTTGGTTGGCTCAGCTGCAGGTGAGAGCCCAGATGTCTCTGCCCAGAAATGGAGACACATCAGTAGGGACGTGCCCGCCCCTGCAGTCTCTCGGGTCCTACATGCATAGGATGCCCCACCGTGGGGATCCAGCAGGGCTTTGCAGAGCACCTCTAGTCTCTGACCTGGCTGTTTCCTGTGCCACACCCGCCTGCCCCACTTCTTGGCTAAGACATGGGTGAGGAGCCCCTTCTTGCAGAAGCTTCTAGAAGCCCCTGGCCTCAGTGAGGTCCCCTCCTCTGTGCTCCCCAGTGCCGCCCACCCTGCCCTCGGCCCCAGAAGTGCTGCAGCCCACTTTTCTCCACATCGTCCTGTCACTTAGCCCCTTGAGTGATGGCCTATTGACAGGAGAAGAGCAAAGGAATCCTGAAAGGGGCCCTTCTGCCCCTCTTGGCACAGCAGGCTGTACAGTAAGCTTAGCCCCGCCTCTGAGCACCGCATCTGTGCCGGCGCAGTGGATGGAGACCCTTAAGGTCTGCTGGGGAGAGAAGAGGTGTCCCTGCATTTGAGGAGCTGAGCCAAGGGGGCTGCGCCACAAGGAAGCAGCTTAGAGGAGCCATTGTGGGGATGAGGGGTGCCTGGGAGAGGGCTCTGGGCCGGTGAGGGTGGGGGAGACCCTAGGGAAGTCATCTAAGTTCCCTGAGCATCAGTGTCCTCAAATGAACAATGAGACTCGGCCCCAGCTCCTCCTCAGGGTTGTTGTGAGATTAAAATGGGACCGCATACATCAGACCCTCAGAGAAGTTTCTCCCTAAAGACAGCCTTAGTCTTCTCCATTCTTGGTTCAGGCCCTCTGGGACCCCATCTCCACCATCACACACCGGCCTAGGGCTGCACTCTTGGAAGGGCCCCTGCGCTTGCGGGGTGGGCAGGGGACCCTCGCTCCACCTGGGCGTTCTCTCTGATGGGGCCCAGGAAGGCTTTGCAGCCGTGGGCCATCTGTCCAGGCCTTACTGGGCCCAGGCAGAGGTACGTGGGACCTGGAGAATGGCACAGGGGATTGCAGCGGAGAGAGACTGTGGGCACAGGTGTGGCGAGGCCAGGCCGCCGAGAGCCAAGTGGTTTGCGAAATTTCCTGGTGGTGTGGAGGGAAGAGCAGTTGATGTGTTCACCACCCCACAGCCTGTTTGCAGCCTGGAAGACGATTGCAGGGGGTGGCAGGGCTGAAAAGACAATGTCCCCGTTAAAGGAAATTGAGAAAGAGAGTTTCCTTCCTAGTGGGGCGGGACAGTGCAGATAGGCGGCCGGTCCTGGAAGAGGTGGGGGCCAGGGGTGGGGGGCTCACACGCCCTGCTATTTCCCTCTATGAGAATGGGCGGGAGCAGCTCCGGAAAGGGTCGCGGATGGAGCCGCCCTCACCCCAGGACCCCGCCCTCACCCAGGACGCCAGGGGTGTCTTCCGGTGAAGGCGGCATAGGAAGCGCCAGTCTGTGCCGCAGTGTAAGTAGAGGCGCTATGAGCCCGAGTTTCCCACGTCCAGGGATAAATAGGGAGCTGTGACAGTCAAGCCGCGCGGAGGTTGTCCTGGCTGCCTTTGTGGTCAGGTGAAGGCACAGACGCAGGGAGGTCGGGCGTGCGCCGGCAGGCGGAGAGCAGGCCACTGGGGAGAGGCCGAGAGAGAACGCGGGGCACCCGGCCCGGGGGGTCATTTACAAGGGACGCTGGGCACGAAGGAGGCTGGGGCGAAGTTGAGTCCAGGGGTTGGGTTGAGGGAGCTGTGCAGCCGGGCTGAGCGGAGAAGGTGACGAGGGACTCCTGGTAAAAGACGGGGGAGAGGGGACCTGGGGGCAGGCAGAGGCCTAGGGGGTGCGCTCTGAGGGCAGCCCCTCCCACCGGCCCTGTCCCAGCCCCACAGGCCGGCCACATGCCCTGTGCTCCAGACGACCCAGCTACATGGATGGCAGCGTCCTGAAGGGGGATAAGGGGTAGGGATTGGGTGCGGAGGCTCACGCCTGTAATCCCAGTGTTCGAGAAGGCCCGAGCGGGATGAGCGTTTGAGCCGGGGGGGTGGAAGCTGCAGTGATCTGCACCACTGAACTCCCGCCTGGACAACAGAGTGAGACCCTGTCTCAAAAGACAAAAAACAAAAGGCACCAGGGGTGCAGGGAAGGAGCGATAGTCCCCCAGGCAAGGAAGGCTGCAGAGGGGCCAGGCCAGGAGATAAGGGCCCTGAGCTCAGTGGAAGGGCAGAGTGCGTGTGGAGGAAGGGAGGGACTCACGAGCACCAGGAAGAATGAGGGGCCAGGCTGGGTGTCGGGAGAAGTGATGGCGAAGGAAAGAGAGGCGGGAAGAGGAGGGAGCCTGCTGGCCTGGCATTGGAAAGCAAAGCGTGCGTTTGTATATGGGAAGAAGACCCCATCCCCTCTTATCGTCATCCCAGCTCAGAAACCATTTGGCCCCGTCACCAAAGCACTCATAGGAACCGCTTTTCCTGTGACACAAGTAGAATTCTCCCACTTAACTTCCCAAATGCTACCCTAAAACCTCTGAAATCCTTGGAAATTTTCAAAATAATTCCCTCCTATTAACTGATGCCAATAAAACGTACTGACTTTCATTAAATTTTGTTGTGAGATCAGAGATGTGTCCCACTGTAAAATAAATTTGTTTGGAAAATGTAGGGGGGAAAGCCATCTAAAATTTAGACAAGGCTAGAAAATTTCAATGTTATTTGCTAAGGTAGCATCATATTGTTGTTAAAAAGGCGTCATAAAATAAGACGAAGAGTTAATACAAAACATGAAGTCATGTTTCCCTCAACAAAAACGATCTGTTCTGTAGTCAAATTAATTTGGAAAACATTGCAACCTCTTCAGCAGTGGTTATCAAAGTATAGCTTGCGTCAGAATCCCCTGGGGCCCTTGTTAAAATCTGGATGGCTACACTCACCCCCTAGTGTGGGTTAAACTCAGTGCCCACTGGCAGGAAACTGAAACTCGTGGCTGAAATCACCGAGGAGGCCTTCCCTGTTAAACCTCTGGCTGGGGACAGCTTGGTTTCCTCGCCGCTTCTGAGTAACTCTGGCACGCAGTTCCTCCTAGCCACCTGCTGTGCCTGGAAGGGGGCCAGCCCTCCTCAGCAGGCTTTGCCCCCGCCCTGCACAGCACAACTGTGGCATGAAAAATGGAAAAGCTGTTAGCAGAAGGAAAGAGCAGGGAGACAGAGGTCAGGTGAACCTCCATGGCCTCGTTAAAGGAAATTGAGAGAGTTTCCTTCGAGTGAGGCGGAACAGTAGAGAAATAAGGCCGGTCCTGGGAGAAGTAGGGGTGAGGGGTGGGGCTCACCTGGCACACGGCCAACAGCTGGTGCCCAGTTTGGGCCACAGTTTGGCACAGGAGAAAGCTGAAGGTGCAGGAGAAAGCTTGGTCACCACCCCAAGACCAGGTGATCAAGGTGGCTGTTACCTGCCTGTGTGACCTTACCTGGTGCCCTCTCTGGCCTGCAGGTTCCTTCTTTTTACAAAAGCGGATCTTTGAAGCCCTGAATATTCCAGTTATCTATAAGGATATAGAAATATTTTGCCTCTAGATGACACGCAAATATGTTCCTCCTAACTCCACTTCTTCCTGGATCTGTGGCTTCCTCTGAAAACTGCCACGTCCACCCTGTTTTCAGAGCAAACCTCCTGTTTTGAGGTCAAACAGACCCAGCTGGGCAGATGGTGACTCACTCCTGGTTCCTCCAAAGAACAGGGGTGAGCAACCACCCGGGACCTCAGGCGCCCCAGCACAGGGCCTCTTTCTGGAGCACCATCTGGTGCTGGGCCATCTTCAGGCCCTACAGGGCTCTCGGGGCTTGGGAAGGACTCTCATCTCCCAGAAATAAGTTCTTTTCCCCACCCAGACTGACACCAGATGCTACAGTGAGGCTTACTCCTCTAGTTTGACAAGCGTTCCTAGCCCAGGACACTCAGCTGACAAGAAGTGCTGGGGGAGGAAGGAGGCAGCAAGGCTGAAAGAAGCTTCTCTGGGTATTCCGGTGCCTGGCTGCTGGTCGTAGCCTTGGTGAGGCCACAGCAGCCTCCCTGGAAGGCTGCAGCAAGAATCTGGGTAAAAGCCCCTCCTTCCCCACGAGGGGCTGGATCCAAGTGAAGAAGGTACCAGAAGGACTGGAAGATGATGCTGGCATTATTCGACAGCTCCAGGTTGCTGTAGCACTGAGCACCTACTGTATGCAGCCCATCACAAAGCCGACCACACCGCCCAGACTGTGCCATGGCAACTTCCAGCAGTACACCCTCTTGGCCACCTGCAGGCTGCTTTTTTGTCCTGACACATGAGGAGAAAAAGACAGTACTCACAAAGGCTTCCAGCCTTGTGGTCCCAGTACCCTCTCCTGAGCATCATGGCCTCCTCGGAGACCCAGGGTAGCCAGGACAAAGGAGAGCAGCATTTGCTAAGCTAAGGAAGGATGGAAGGGGATTGCTGTTCTGCCCGGATGCGCCCCTAGGCCTGGCAGGGCAAGCAGGACAGACCCCCAGTGTCTCCTGCTTATCCTAAGAGTTCCCCTGTGTGGTTGCTCCAGTTTGCTGCCTTCATGCATGGTCACAGGGTAATTCCTCTGGTACGACAGAGCTGGGATGTCACCAAGCCCTGTGTCCCATCAGCCAGGCTCTCCCCAGCCTCCATTCTCTGATTCTGCTGGATCAGGAGGATGTGGGGAGGTCCCTGACTCCCCAGATTTCCCCATGACAAGGTGTGTGTGTCTACAGCTCAGACCCAGCCACACTCCACCTGAGAAGTGGGGGATCCTGGCCACGTAGGGCTGCCTCCTCGGGGGTGGGCAGGAAGAGGAGCCACTGGAGGAATGCCCCGGGCACAATCCCCTGCACCAGGGTGAGGTCACCTTTTCGTCCACGAGGCGGTGCTGCATGAGCCCCTCTGGACACTAGGAGGCCTGGGCTCAATGCTGAGTAAAGTGCAGGCGTGACTGTGCCCTCAGCATGCATAGGGCAGCGGGCACCGATTCAGACACATGAGTTTGCACCTAAGCTGCAGTAAGAGCTACAGAGGAAATGAACAGAGACAGCATCACTCCAGGGAGCCCTCCAGACGCACTCACCCCATACGTGCAGTAGGAGAATGGCGTAGCCTATTGGGACAGCCACATCAAAATACCACAGACCAGATGGCTTAAACTGCAGACATTTGTCTCTCACAGGTCTGGAGGCTAGAAGTCCAAGATCAGGGTGCCAGCCAATCCACTTGCTGGTGAGGGCCCTCTTCCCAGCTTGCAGATGTCTCTCTGTGTTCCCATAGTATGGTCACGTGGCAGAGGAGAGCTGGGGACAGGGCATGAATAAGCCCTCTGGTGCCTTCCTTTTCTTAGGAGGATGCTAATCCCATCATGGGTGCCCCACCCTCGTGACCTCATCTAACCCTAATCACCTCCCAAAGGCCCCACCTCCTAATGCCATCACACTGGGGGTCAGGGCTTCAACATGTGAATTTGGGGGGCACAATTTAGCCCACAGCAGAAAAGAAAGGGGCACTGAGCATTCCAGCCTGAAGGAAACAGATGTGCAAAGGCCCAAGGCAAAGGCCTGGGCTCTGAGGGGCAGCCAGAGTCAAGGCTGAAGAGTGGGCAGTGATCGAGCACTGACAGTGGGGAGGAAACAAGCTAACTTGTTAATCTCAGTCTTTTGTGTGCCAGAGAGAGAAACTGAGGCAGCCTGTGCCATGGTGAACACTGGGCAGCATTCCCACGCTCCTGTGCTGCACCCTGCAGGGTTATGGAGGAAGCCTGGGAAGCCTCTCCCCTCTTTTCCAGCTTTCCTGGACCCATCCCACACCCTGCCTCCTCCAGGAAGCCCTGGGGGTTGCTCACACACACATCTCACTCCTTGGTACCTGCAACCTGCATTCTGAATTTAGCAAGCTCTGGCCTTGGGTTTCTATTTTCTCGTCTTGTGCAGTGAGCATTTGGAAACTTCTGTCCTCAGCACCAAGCATGGAGCCATTTAGCAGAAAATAAATGAGTTTTCAAGTCAATTGAACTGTTCGTCTCCCCAAAATCCAGGCAACACAGTAGAGCAGCTGGATCTCTGTTCCTGGAAGCTTTCTCAGGGACTGGCTCACTGAGTGGGGGACAGCAAGTGCCTGATGAGTGAATGAATGAATGAATGAACACATGTGTGAATGGAATTCAAGGCACTGTAGGCTATTCTGGAGGGTATTGGCCTGTCTTTTCGACAGGTGAGGTGCAGTAGGAACAGCATCCCGTATTCTGTCCTGGTTCTGAAAAGCCAATCACCTGTCTCTGCAGAGCTGCCTGGGGCCGTGGGGGGGGTATGTTGTGGGGACCCCTGAGAGCTCACTGTGAAGGGGCTCTGCAGAGGGAGGCATGGCTGGTGTGTACAAGGTGACCTCTCTCCTGGTCTGCAGGATGGAGAACCTGTTCATCAACCGCTTCATGCACATGTTCCAGTCTTCCTGGAATGACTTTGCCGACTTTGAGAAAATCTTCGTCAAGATCAGCAACACTATTTCTGGTGAGTGTGCCTCTGGGGGCTCTAGTGGTGCTGGGGACAGGGGATGCTGCTCTTCTGTCTGAGACTTACCGCGAAATTGACAAGGGCTTTCCTGCCTGCTGCAGCATGGGGGCCTTGCTGCCACCATGCCACCCTGGCCGGCACCCCCTACACTCCACAGCTTTTGCATCACTGTGGTCACACTTGTGCCCAGAGGTTTCTCCTCCTCAGATATTCAAGCTCCAGCACCCTCGACCTCATTTCACCATCGAAGTCTGAAAAGTATCAGAACTTTTTCTTGGCACAAATCAATCATTTGTGCTTCTGACCAGAGCAAAGGCAGAACTTGGCTTGTGTTTTAGGCATTTACACGAAAGCAACTTTGGGTTCCTTTGGATAAGGATGTGTTTGGTGAGAGCACTAGCTTTATAGTGGCCAGTCATGGCATGGGAAGGACGTTAAGGAGGCAGGAATGGCTGGACAAGAAGAGGTGCTGAAATCAGGACATGGGGAACCAAACTTGGAAAACTGTCCCCAGGGACTCTCCTCCACGCCCCTCCTCCTTTCATCCTGGACTATCCATGCTGGGCTGAAGGACCTGAGTTCATGAGAGACGGGTGCCCCCGGAGGTTTCTGAGCCACTAAGGGCCAGCTCAGGGATGATGAGATGGTGCCACAGCCTGACCCAGTGATGGGTTGGAGCTGTGTCCATCCAGGGAGCACTTGGGGGAGGAGACCAAGCAGGGACTCTGCTCTGCAGAGGTCAGGTGAGGTCAGGAGGGCCACGGTCCTGGCTGCCCTCTGCTCAGAGCTCAGGGTGGGCCTCGCTTCTCTCCTGGTAGAGCGGGTCATGAATCATTGGCAGGAAGACCTGATGTTTGGCTACCAGTTCCTGAATGGCTGCAACCCTGTGTTGATCCGGCGCTGCACAGAGCTGCCGGAGAAGTTCCCGGTGACCACGGAGATGGTGGAGTGCAGCCTGGAGCGACAGCTCAGCTTGGAGCAGGAGGTCCAGGTAGGGGTTGATGGGCTGGGGAAGTGGCCAAGGTCACAGTCTGTCAGGTGGAAGCCACTTCCTCCTGGCCAGTGCTCATAGGCCCCCAAGACACTAACTGCAGGCCCATCTGGCCTGGAGCAGCCGCTTCCTTTTCCTGGCAGCAGTGTCAGCCAGGGTCCTGGGCATTATGCAGACTGTCTTGTACAATATCAGAGGAGGAATTGCGGGGAATGTTTCTCCATGATGTTCGAGTCTGGGAACATAATGTCAATATTTTCACTATCAGTATTAATAATTACAGGAGCTATCCTTGATTAGGGGCCTGTGGTGGGACAGGCATTGTGACAGGTGCTTTATATACACAGTCATCAGTTGTCACCCACCTTGCAAAGGGGAGAACAGTGGAGAAAGAAGTAGATCTTGTGTGAGAATAAAAAAGGGGCATGAGGAGAAACTCAACAGAATGTTTGACTTTCTCGTTAGAAATGCTGCTGCCTGTGCTCCTGTCGCACCCTCCTCCCCACCCTCACCTGCAGACTCAGCTGCCTCCGGCTGCAAGGCTGACCTAGTCTTGAGACAGAAGTTCAAACCAGCTCCATCTGAATCTGGTGGGGCTCAGCAACAGGTGCTAGCCCATCAGCCTGCCTCTTCCCCATGGAACCAGTGTGATGGGGCCTTCTGCCACCCAGGCCCTGCTGCCTGTCCCCAGGTGTCCAGGTGGCCTCTGCTGCTTCCAGTCTTTTAAGCTCAGCTTACCCTGGGGCCCTAGTTGGAGAGGGATGGTTGGTGCCCTTTAGAGATAAACCTACAGCCCCAGTACCTGGCCCATCTGAATCTAGAGGGCCACCCACCCAGCTGAAGTCCCTGGACAAGTCTCCTGCCCCAGTGCAGGCAGCACTTCCTAACCTCCTCCTCCTGCACCCAGCCAGGCCCAGACCACTTCCTGGTCATGGGAACAGCTGACAGTTACAATCCCCCATACACTGAGACAGCATCTGTGTTCCTGAGTGGACTGAATTGCTAGACTTAGTAACATTGATTCGGTGGCTATAGGTTTCAAACTTCAAGTCAGAGATCATAGAGATTAAGCCATATAGAATCCTAGAATTGGAAGACTCTGAGCAGCCATCTGTGCACCCAGCAGCCAAGGAGTCGCCGTCCTCAGCACTTGGGCAGGGCAACAGCCTCCCACAGGGAGTCCTGGCCACCTCCAGGACACGTGGGTTATGGGTCGCCTTTCCTTTGAGCTGACCTACCCCTCACTGACTAGACGCTTTTTGTTTTGTTTTGGTTTGTTTTGTTTTTGTTTTGTTTGAGACGGAGTCTCCCTCTGTCGCCCAGGCTGGAGTGCAGTGGCCAGATCTCAGATCTCAGCTCACTGCAAGCTCCGCCTCCTGGGTTTAGGCCATTCTCCTACCTTAGCCTCCCGAGTAGCTGGGACACTGACTAGACTCTTAACACACACACACCTTCCCATCTCCTACACACCAGCATGATTCTTAATCCCCACAGTCATTCATGCTGCCCATCTGGCAGCACCTTAGTGATCTACAGCAAGCTTGTGGCCTACTAAAAATGCCTACATTGTTTTGTAAAATGTGCAGTTATTTTCTGGAACATGAAGAGGGAAATCATATCCCTGTTGTTGGTATTGATTCAGTGTTACAGCTCAAGTTTGTTTGAGTTCTTAGTCTTTGTATTTGGATTCTTTGGTTTCAGATTACAAAAATCAACTCCATCTGGTTTAATCCAAGAACTCTATTGGCTCAGGCAACAGTAAAAAGCAATGCTAACTCATTTGGGACCAGACCAGGGCTCAGATCATCCCCTGCACTGTCTCTCTCTCTCCATGTCTCAATCCTCTGCCTCTGGTGGATTTTTCCTCAGGAGGGTTTCCTTACCTGGAGGTAAAGAATGATCGCCAGCAGCTTCAGATTTACCTTCCACCAGCTTAGCAAACACCACCCCCTCCCAGCAAGAAAGACCCTGTTTCCTAACACTCCCAGCAGATGTCTTAGGCCATCCTCGGGCCTCACTGATTCTGTGAGCCCGTGCCCACGGCCAGGAGAATGGAGACCCAGAGGGGACAGGGACGCTAGACAGGCAAGAACTCCAGTGTCAGCAGCAGAATCCTAAAACGTCAGAACTGAGAGATCGGCCTGCCCCTCGTTTTTCAGAAAGATGCAAGGGAGGCCTGGAATAACAGAGAAATGCTGCAATCTGTGGCCCCAAATCCCAGGCCTCCTGTTCCCAGTATCAGGTTCACCAGCCTGGGTGGTCTCAAGATTGGATTAGCAGCCATTCCTTCTGGGTAGAGTCTGATGGTCACTTCAGCTCTCAAAGTCCAGCTGTCCAGCCGTCCTCCTAGAAGGCAAGACAGCAATGTGCCCGACCAGCCCGAGGGTCTCCACCTGCCTCCCTCCCCAACACAAGGTGCTCTGAGCCCCTCCGCGGGAAAAGTCCCCGTTTCCCCGCTCCCCCCGCCCCCCGGCCCCCCCCCGCCCCCCCCCATCGCGACAGATGCTCAGAGCTCATCCTTGGTGTCAAACGACACAAAGCAGGAGGGCAGTGGCCAGGCTCCGAGCTCCCGCCGTCCTGGGTGGGTGGCTTCAGTCCTGCGTGCCGCCGAGCAGCGATCGGTGAAGCTGTAGCGGGGCGCTCTGGATGTCTCCAGGCGGAGTAGACCCCGACCCCTCCGCAGTCGGGACCCTCACCCTTTCCTTCATCACTCAGGAAACAGAAAAGGCTTCAGAAGGAGCGGCCATACCCCCGGCCTAAGCGCTGCACAGCAGCCCTGCACCTGGCCTTCCTAGGGGCCCCTCTGCCGGACCCACTGCGCGGCTCCCAGCGGTCGCCCGCCTCCCATTTCATGGGCACGCTCGTTGTGTGTCGAGGGGTGTTAATTCCTACAGAAAAGGGCACGGATCCGAGGGTCAGCAAGCCCGACGAATTTACACCAATGACCCGCCGTGTCGCCAGTCTCAGACCAGGGCACGACAGGCCAACCCTGCAGACCACCCCCACCTGCCCAGCCACTGCCCCTTCCCCCTCTGCTTCTGCAGCCCCTCTCCCGCCATACGCTCATTCCCGCCCCCGCAGACCTTCCCTACCTCCTGGAGACCCCCCTCAACCCCTGTAGATTCCCCTGCCCGTGCAGAACCCCCTCTCCCTTCCCCTGCAGCCTCCCTACCCGACCCGGTGGACAGCCCTGCCCCGCTTCCTGTCTCTTCCTCCCAAGGGAGATCCCTGTCCTGGCTCTGACTGGGGTTGAGTTCGCCCAGTTTTGACCTCTGTGTAGAGTCCGGCAGCATCATTTTCTGACATTTAACTGGTCGCATCTATTTCACCTAACCTCTCCTTTCTTCTTATAATCTGACACTCAGGGCGGTCTCTCATCTTTCCTGCCAGTCAAGCAGGTTTCAGACGCTACAAATGCAGAGTGAGCTGCTGCCATTCCTTCACCTTACCCCGAACTACCACAACCTGTGAACACCCTCCATGTGAATCAATCAGCCTTTGACACATTCTAAACTCGGCTGAGTCGCAGGAAAGGGAGAGGGGGCCCCAGAGATCATCACTCTTTCCTCAGGCCTGATTTTTGGCCCATCTGCTGAGCCTGATTTGGACACATCTCTCTGCCTCCTGCAGCAAGGGAACATTTTCATCGTGGACTTTGAGCTACTGGATGGCATCGATGCCAACAAAACAGACCCCTGCACACTCCAGTTCCTGGCCGCTCCCATCTGCTTGCTGTATAAGAACCTGGCCAACAAGATCGTCCCCATTGCCATCCAGGTAAGCTGCCTCCAGGCACACCTTTCTGAGCAGCTCAGTCCTCGGCGATCCAGGGCTCCTGGGGGGCTCCACTCCAGCTCGGGAAGCTATGTCTTGAAAGACACTAGGGCTTCCTGCCGGCCCTGAGGTGGGCTGTCCATAGGGCGGAGAGGGCTGTACTCCCCAAGGCACACTTGAGAAGCCCCTGACCAGTCGAGCGAGGCACACTGTGGAGGACCTGCCCTGGGATGATATTCTTCACTCTCCACCCAGCGCCCTGACCAAGGGCCCCCAATCAAGGTGCTGCCAGGGGCCAGGCAGGTGAAGCTGTGGGCTGAGCTGGAGACCAAAACCACTGAGGGGCACCATGGGCGCTGGGGCCAGGAGCCAGGCCAGTTCTGGTATGCCACCTTTGATAATGATGTGAGTTTTTACGTCCACCTGAGATGAGGGAGGAGGAAGAGGGAGACCCTGGATGAAAGGCAGGTGGGCACAGGGCTTTGTCTCCACCTATTCCTGGCACCAGCCTACTGCCAGTCTGGGAGCTGGTGTGCAGACAGCAGGGACCAAGGCCAGGACTGGACTGGGCATAGGTCCCTGGGGGTAGGAAAGAACTGCACAGGGGATGCCGTGGGAGACTGGCAGATGAGCATTCAGCAAATAATGTCCATGAACTGGACCTTGGGAGCTGTGGACACAGTAGCAGCTGGATAGGTCAGGCACCAGCCACATGCCAAGGCTATCCTACGGGTTAACCTGCACAGTCCACAATCCCTCACCCTCGATTCTAAATCTAAAGAATCTAAAAACTGCTGCATGTTTCAAAACTGTGCAGCAAATTCATTGTTTGTGAACAAACCTTTTTGAAGCAATAGGTGAGGTTATTTAGAGACTTTTTCCCATTCAATGTGATAGGCATGTGGATCACTGCAGAAATACTGCTCTGTTTGATTGTAAAATAGTACGTTGCCCTCGACCTGGGGTGGGAGGGGGTATGGCACATAATGAAGTATGCCCACTGCTAAAATCCTAAACATTCTGGATTCTGAAGCACACTTAACCACTGGGGTTTTAGATAACCTATCTTTATTTGTGTAATCATCACCACAACCCTCCCAGGTAGTGGGCTCTGTTGATGTTGATCACTTTACCCAGATAAGGAAACTGAGGGACAGGTGCCCACTGCCAGCCACAGAGCTAGGATTCAAGCCAGGTCATCCGATTCTCTAGATTCCAGGCTCCCCACGGTCTCCCAGGGGCATGTGCCCTCAGAGGAGCTTCCCGTCTGTTACTAGAGAGAAGCCCTGTGCCAAAGGAACTGAAGCAGTAGGTAAAGGGACAGGTGACCTAAAAGAAGATGAAATTCCTGCAAGATCCCCAGAGATCCCAGGCACCACCGATGGTGCCTTCAAAAGCTTTTCTCAGAGACCTCTTGGAGCAGCCTGGAGTCAGGGGCCTAGCTTAAATTCCAGCTCAGCCACTTGCTAACAGGATGTGGGACCTTGAGAAAGCCACAGACTGTTCCTGGGTCTCTTTCTTCTTCTGAAAATGGAAACTTTGCAAACCATAAAGACCCAAGCAAATGAAAGTCAGAGGATAGTAAATCCAAGATCTAGTTCTTTGAAAGGTCCAAAAAATAATAATAATAACCTCCTCATGAGGCTGACGGAAAAAAAGAGAGAGAGAGAAAAAAAAAACATATTCAAGATTCGGAATAAAAAAGGAGTCATAAAAAGAGTAATTACATTGTCGTGCACCATGGTGGTGCACAACTGTAGTCCCAGCTACGTGGGAGGCTGAGGCAGGAGGCTCACTTGAGGCTGTAGTGTGCTATGATCACACCTGTGAATAGCCACGGCACTCTAGCCTGAGCAACATAGCAAGACCCCGTCTCTTAAAAAAGAGTAATTATGATTATATACTTTTTTAATGAGAGTAATATAGCAACACATTTGAAAAACTAGAGGAAATGGATTAAAAACCTAGGAAAAGATAAATTAGAAGAAATTGTAGAAAATAGGCCAATTTCCATATAGTGATTGGAAACAGACCCACATGGCGAGCAGCTGAGTCTCACCCAGCTACTAGACAGCCAACATTTCCAGGGCTCTTTATCAGCCCCAAATTGATCCTATAAAGCTGGCGTAAGCTTAGTTCTGAAATTGGATACAGGCAGACTTCAAAAGAAGGCTGAAGACCAATCTAAGTATTAAATAAAGATTGAAGAGAAATCTAAGGGTGATATTAACAAAGTGAGTGCAGCAGTGTATTAAATGACTACATGTAATAACCAAGTAGGGCTTATTCCAGATATTTCAATATCAAGAGAGTTACCACCATAATTTATTACACCAGTAAGGATAAAGTTTGTGATTATATCAATTCACACTAAAAGTGAATTTAATAACATTTAATAGCCACAACAAATAAAAATTAATAGGAGGAACCTTACTTTATATGATAAAGCTAGCTAACATCAAAAAGGTGCAACTCTAATGCCATTGCCATTAAAATAATAAATAAGAATGCTGATATCGCTGTTTTTATTTGACATTATTTTAGAGGTCATACCACATGATAAAACAGAAAAACAATCAATAAACATATTGTCAAAGAACAGGGAACATTATTCTTTCTGGTAATGCTATGGTAGACCTAGAAAACATAAAAGATTCTAATTTTTTTAAAAGCTACTAGATTAATAAGTTCATTTGGCAAAGAGTTTAGATAAATATATTTCTTAAAAAAAATAGCCTTTCTCCATACCAACAATAAAATATAACGTCCATATAAGGAAAAACTATAAAGTTATTATTATTATTATTATTATTATTATTATTATTTATTATTTTGAGATGGAGTCTCGCTCTGTCACCCAGGTTGGAGTGCAGTGGCATGATCTCGGCTCACTGCAACCTCTGCCTCCCGGGTTCAAGCAATGATCCTGCCTCAGCCTCCCAAGTAGCTGGGATTACCATGCCCAGCTAATTTTTTGTATTTTTAGTAGAGACGGTGTTTCACCATGTTGGCCAGGCTGGTCTGGAACTCCTGACCTTGTGATTCGCCTGCCTCAGCCTCCCAAAGTGTTGGGATTACAGGTGTGAGCTACCGCACCTGGCCAACTATGAAGTTATTTTAAAGGATATACAATGAACTCTTAACAGTGATTTGATATTGGGGAGGAAACTGTATATCATCATAATGTCAGTTCTACCAAATTCTATTATAAAAACTTAATGCACTTTCAAGTAAAATTTCAGCCAGAATTTTTTATCTTTCTTGGTGGAGGTGTGGTGGTGGTGAAGAGGAACTTAAAAGGAGAGAAAACAATTTAAAAATTGAAGGATTCATGTGGAAAAAGAAATCTGGCATAGTAAAAAAATTTTTGAAAAAAATAAAAACCACATAGAGAGGCAGGGCAACCAAGTCTAAAAAAAAAAAAAGAAAAAAGAAAAGAAAATTTAATAGAAAAAATTAAGTATGGTGGTGCATACCTGTAATCCCAACTGCTCAGGAGGCTGAGGTGGGAAGATGGCTTGAGTCCAGGAGTTCAGGCTGCAGTGAGCCATGAAAGCTCCACTGCACTTCACACTGGGCAACAGAGTGACACCCTGCCTTTAAAAAAAAAAAGAAAAAGAAAAAGAAAAGAAAACACAGAGGGAACACTTTCCTTGCTGGATTTGTAAGGTTACTGTTAAGCTGTGCTTGAAAACAGAGAGAACTGGGGGACAGTATAGAGTAAGATCCAGAAATAGACTCCTCTACAGAGGAATTTAATGTATCACAATGGAGGTTTTTCAACTCAGTGAAAAGGGGATATTATTTTAATGGTGCTATCACACTTTGCATAAGAAGAAAATTAAGTTGGACTACTCTGTCATGCTATTTACAAAAATAAATCTCATCATGTAGAGTTGCTTAGAAGAAAAAGAAAAAAAGAAATTCAGATGAAATAAAAATTAAAATGAAAAAAGTAAATGAATTTAGAAAACCTATGCGGAGACTCAGAAGACTTTTAGAAGGAAAAGGAAACCAAGAAGTTATAAGGGGAAAGCTAAGCATATTTGATTGTGTAATGTTTTAAAACTTAAATGATAAAATAAACCATAAACAAAGCCAAAAAGCAAAATAGAGATTGAGGGGAATAACTGTAACAGACGTGACAGCTAAGAAATGCCTATCTATGACATACAATTAGCTCCTTTATATTGGCAGGAAAATACAAATACTCTAGTGGAAAAATGGTCAGAGAATATGGATAGGCAATTCACAAAAGAAGAAATGTAAATGGGCAACCAGCATATGGAAAAACTCGTAAATTCACCTGTAGTTAGGGAAATGCAAATGAAAGTTAACAATAAGATATCATTTCTAACCTGTCTGGTTGGAAAAACAAAGGGGTAACTCCCAAACACCAGCAAGGATAGAGCCCCATGCACTGCCCATGAATTGCTGCAGCCTGGCAGTGTTCATGGGATAACTGGTGGGCCTGGGCAGCCCAAGGTCAGAGCTTGGGCCAGCACCGGAGCAGATCCCACAGTACCTGCTGTACCAGGTGCACGTTGGAGTGGGTGGTCAGAGGATCCTGGGGTTGGAGCTGTCGTGGTGAGGACAGTTGTGTTACCGAGCTGGACTGGGGTCTGCTTGCCCAGTGCAGCAAAACAAAACACTGAGATTGGGATAGAATCTAGAACACAAGGCATTTATTGCGGGGACCAAAAAAGAAGAATTGGGCAACTCCCTCTTAAGACAGGAACTCCCTGATGGCTTGCAGGTAAGCGTTTTTAAAGGCGGGGTAAATTTCAGGAAAGCAGAAGTTCACAGGCAAAATCATTAATCAATACTTGGAGGGCACACATTGGTTTTAGCCTAAAAGGGCAGGATATCTTGAAGTGGGGTGGGCTTCCAGGTCATAGGTAGGTTCAAAAATTTGTTGTTTTGCGGTTGGTTAAGGAAGAGAAGTTTTGTTTAAAATTTTGAGTTACCAGAAAGGAATGTTAGCTGTGGCTTGTAGGCGGGAC